CTTTGCGGCTCAACCCTATTCCGAGTGTACGAATATCAGGCGTTAACAAAATTTTAATTAAATGTACCGATCGTATTCTGATTTAAAATAAATATTTTAAACATACATAAACTCACCCTAGTAAAATTTAAAAAGAGGCTTCACAAAATTCCACATTTTTACGTATTTTGTATCTTTAAAAATATTCATGGTAACATAATTAAAAAGAATTGGTGCTTTAATTCAATTCACTTTATTGACAATTACCATGTCGGCATACAGTCATGAACATGAATAACATAACATAAATTAACACAATTAATACAAGCATATACAAAGTGAGAAATATGAGGTGAACAAAATTGTTTATTTCTCAATATTAATATTCATTTTTGACTTTCTTTTCTGATGTCAAAGCACTTTTTCAAGAAACAACATATCCTTCTAGCAGTTGAAATATTTGTAGGATTGACAATTTTTCTATTGGGGTTATCACTAGTATGTGTTAACATTAAATATATCATTGTAATTCCATCTATATTGATCATACTTTGGACAATAAAGAACAAAATGTTTTTCGTCTTCAACAAACAATTTACATGAATAACATAAACGTTTTTCTCTAGGAATAGGGGGTTTACAGTATCTACCCGTTTCAATATACAGTGGATGGGCACTGATCCTTAATTTTGTTAATAAAGATCTACAACTTTTTTTCAAAGGTAGTTTTAAATAACTTTGCAGTTTGTATTCATCTTGATTCACAATTTTGCTATAAAATGCTAAGTTTCCAGAGTCTGATTTGCTAACTTTTTTCAGTTGTTCATATATCTTGTTTTGGTAATGTTCTTGTAATTTGTTTTTCAAAGTTATGTGAGATATTTCCAAAGAACTAATATTTAATTTTGGTAGTAATGAAGACAGTTTCTTTTGCCTAGATATTTTAGATACAAGATTTTTGTCTTCTTTAAATGCAGATACCACTAAATAATTGTTATAATCATGTTTGCATTCCATTTCCTTCAGTCTCATATAATATTTTAACATATATTCATAACACAAATAGTACAAAGGAAAACGACCCAACTCACATAAAACAGCTAGATTTGATGCCTTTCTATGTACCCCTAGTATATCTTTAAATATCAAGTGCTGTGTTTTTTCAAAAGGAAACTGGTCTGAAGACATTAAATCACATTTAAAGTCAGTTATCCATATTTCAGATCCATATGTTATAATTGGTATTATCATTGACTGATATAATTTCAACATAATTTCAGCAGAAAAATTAACATTTGCAGGAAAATTTGATTTAATAGCGTAATATGCTTTTCTAGCACGTTCTGATAGCTGTTCAGCAGCAAATTTCATTTTCCCATCAGATCTAAACACAACACCCAAATATTTATATTCATTTGTTATGTTAATCATTTTGTGATAATAATAAAATCTAAATGATGCTTCATCAACAGATTTTTTTGAAAAAATCATAACATCTGTTTTTTTCCATATTAACACACAATTTCCAGTCTGAACAATATTTTCCTAAAGTATCTATACAATTTTGTAGACCAACTTCTGATTCTGATACAAGGACAAGATCATCAGCAAAAAACATATGATTAATTGGCATAGTATCTAGATAAGCAGGATATGTACTTACATTCTTGAAATAATTCACAAAATCATCAACAAAAATATTGAAAAGTGTTGGACTTAAATTATCACCTTGCTTGACTCCTCTATTTGCTTTAAATTTCTCGCTTATTTGATTGTCTTTTTTACAAGAATAGTATATGTTTGAATACATGTCTGTTAAAAGTTTGAGAAAGTTACAACCAATACCCTTTTTATTCAATTTGTATAAAAGTGCGGATCTCCATACAGTATCAAATGCTTTTGAAAAATCTACAAAACACACATATAAATTCTGTTTCTTTGCATAAAGATATTTGTTTACAAGTGTTTTTAATACAAATATATTGTCTGTGGTCCTATGACCTTTTCTAAATCCAGATTGATAATTGGCTTAGTAGGTTATTTGACTCAAGATAATTATCTAAGCGTTTCTGTAGAAGGCCTGTAAAAAGTTTTCCTAAACAACTTGTAACACTGAGACCTCTATAATTGTTTGTATTATTAGGGTCACCATTTTTGTATAATGAGGTAATAAGTGATAGGTTCCATTCGTTGGGCATTTTTCCATTTTTAAGTAAAATATTGAACAGTTTTGTAAGAACTGGTAAAAGAGAAGTATTGTTTGTTTTAATAAATTCATTTAAGATTAAGTCAGGCCCAGCACTTTTACCATTTTTCAGCTTTAAAATGCTTCGTTTTATTTCATCTTGAGTAAACAAAAAGTCTAATGGATTTGGTTCAGTATTTAGTTCAGTAAATTTGTATTTTGAGCTTTCTTCATCAGCATATTGTATGTTCAGTAGAGATTTGTAATGATCAATGAATTCTAATATTCCAATTGCTTCTGCATTAGTTTTCTTTGATTTATTTTCTTTTATCTTATTCCAAAATTTATTAGAGTTTTGTGGTGAAAGCGAGTTTATTTCTTCTGCTATACTATTGTAAAAAGTTGATACAAGATTTTTCCTTAATTTATTATAATTTTTTCTACAGTTTGCAAAGGCATGTTTTAATAAAACTGTGTAGCTGCAATAATGTAGCCCCCCCCCCCGGGGGGTACCCCCTCCAAAAAATATCAGATTAAAAAAATCGGAGAGGGCTACATTATTGCAGCTAAAATAAAACATGAAAAGTTATTCAATAAATTGAGATTTAACATCCCCCCTGAATTAAAGAAAAATACGCCCCCCACCCCCCCCCCCCAAAAAAAAAAAAAAAATAAAATGCTCAATCACTTTATGCTATGCTAATTTAACTGAGGAAACCAACACTTCAGAATTACTTTTAAAAAAGTCAATCAATAAGTTTAAAGCATTATAATAATGTGTTCAAAACAATTCAAAATTAATCGCATGTTTTAGTAACTATGTTTTTATTATCTCTCTCTCTCTCTCTCTCTCTCTCTCTCTCTCTCTCTCTCTCTCTCTCTCTCTCTCTCTCTCTCTGCAGATCTTACAATAGTATAATTTGGATTTTACAACTCTAATTAAACTATATTCTGATAAACCCCCGAGATTAAATTCCATACCGAAAGCATTAAGTGAGGAACTTTATTTGTGGCGGAAGATTTATAGAAAGAAATGATGTTCTTCACATTTGAAATATTTACAGTATTGTTAAATTTGGATTCCCAATTTAATGAGTATTTTTACATGCAGCCTACACACAAAGTTATTTTGATCATGATCAGTTAAATGTTTCATGCTAGTCCTAACCAGTTTACTAAATTAAACGTCATGAAATCGAACAGCACATTGGACAACTATAACAAATATATTTTGAAAGTCCAGGGGAAAATATAGCCCATTTTAGGCTTAATATTAGCAGTATTTTGGTTATATTAAAAAATAACATCACAGAAACTCATTTTTAATTTCATTTTCTAAATAAACAAGATAATTTTAACCATTCTGTTTACATTCGGAAAAATGTCATTACTTTCAAATGATTTCATTGCTTCTTATTTTTTAATGGCAGAAAAATGACATTTTTGAGTGTAAAAAGATCAAATGATTGACTATGCGAAGTAATTAGGAAGTTTTTTGTTGTTGTTACAAATCATTATTTGACACTTTTTGTACATACGATTTTCCTGATTATCTTGTCATAACTTTAGGTTTATTGTAGTCTCAATACTGTGTACATGTGTATGACTTTTTTGTATTCTATTTCTAGAGTTGTTGCATTTTTGGAACAACTCCTTCTATTGAATTATGGTATATTGTTCTTTTAGTTTGTGTATTGTTAACTGGTTGATTTGTTTCTCTTTGCATAATACTTTGTCCTTTATTTGTTAAATAAATGACCAATCAAATTCCTCATCAATTTGTTGTGTTTTCTTCAAACTGAGCACCACCCTAGCAGTTATCCATAATTTGATTTATTTGCAAGACGTAATAACAATGCAAAAAGGTCATATTAAATGCTTCGTGGAGCCGAAAGAAGTGCACTGACACCCTATTTTCGGTTTTGATTTTTAATTAAGCCATGTGTATAGATTCCAAAAATACCGGTATACTTGATAAAAAATTCTTAATACTTCTGATAGCCTGGTCTAATCCCCTTAAAAACAAGACAAATAATCCATACTGTCAAATCAAAAAATCGGAATGTTCTTATACAACGTTTTTATTTTTAGAAAACGGGCGTGATAAATTTAAGATAACAAATACTGTCAATGGACAAGAGCGTTTTTATCATCTAAGATAAAGTATGTAGATTAAAAATAATATCTTGAATAAAAGGACAGCAAAACGTTAGTTTATCTTTGGGCACAGCTGCATACCTGTACGAAAATTTACGCCCTGACTCCAGGCGGAATTCAGAAGATGGAATCCGCCTATCATCTATAAGGAACTTAATAAGACTATTAGATGGAGTCCGGGTGGAGTCAGGGCGTAATAGGGCTCGAAATATTTAAATGAGTTAAGGCGTATTCCGCCTTTCCTAATATGGATTACCTGCAAGGCGTATTCCGCCTTACCTGCAAGGCGTATTCCACCTAACCTGCTAGGCATATTCCACCTGACCTGCAAGGCGTATTCCGCCTTAATTATAATAGGCGTATTCCGCCTAACCTGTAAGGCGTATTCCGCCTAACTTCAGGTAGGCGTATTCCGCCTTACTAGCAAGGTGTATTCCGCCTAATGGTTAGAGGGATTTTGCATTAATGTTCAGATAATCTACATGTACTTATCGCAGTTTATCAGATATTGTTGTTTCATACTTTTACAAATTTAACAATAAAAAAAAAATTAAATTATACAAATTATATATCATTTATTTTTTAGTTCTTTAAAATTCAATGACTACAAAACATGTTTACATTTGAAAATGTCCTGCCTTGCCTTCACATGAAATTAAAAGATAAAAAATATTGGTTGAATATTTTCACAAAATTCTTTCTGTCTGTAAGGAAATAATGTGTCATTTTTATTGTTCTCCTTCCTAAGTTATCTGGTATAACCTAGCTATTTTTTCCATGTTTCCAGCTTTCCTTTGCCATTCTTCACACACTCCATGATGAAGTCTGTAAAGAAAATACAAAACTGAAATGAATTTGTCATTTAAAAAAAATTCTTCAACATTTTTCAATACTCATTTATGAATTCTATTCTGAATTACAGATCAGCTAGAATGCAAACATACTTGTGTGATTTTTCTCAACACTAAAACTTACTTAATATAAGAATAATTTTGTCTGATATCTTCATGTATTCTTACCTCTCATAACCTGCTGTGGCGGTCAGCCGGTTACGTTCATAGATAAACTGGTTCCCGTTACTCTCCACTACATTTGAATGAAGCACGTGTTAGATTGCATTCCTTTTTCCCATGTATCTTCAGCAAGCTCTCAAAGAAGAACACAGAATTGCCCATTTACTGGTAAGGGTGGATGGACGGTGACTTCTGGCCTTCATCCTGACTTGCTGTAGACACTAGTTGCCGCTATCCTCATTTTACCTTTATCAGCCATAATCGCTGAGGACTTGTACAGCTCGAAGTGCTGAAATGTATAACACTGCACTTAGTGCACTGCAGAAAATCCTAATATTTACAATTTCAATATTTAAGAAGTTTTAATTTCTTATTCAATTATTTCATAATTTTCATACATTTGAAAAAAGGTGCTAACATAAGATCCCTTTCTACAAATATATTTTAAATTAACATGTATAATCAAATGATAATAAATAGCTGCTCATGGAATATGTAGATCCAACTTTTATCATAATATGATCCATCTTATCCATGTATGTTTCGGAATGTAAATGGTGACTTACTGATCTCAAACCTGACTCCTGATCCCAACTAAGCAGCGAACTACACTTTTAAAAGGGTGTTTGTGTAACAATCCACTAAACCACTGGTTAAAGCAGTGCTTAGACGTTTCACCGCTTAGACACAAATCATAACAAAATTTCCAACAGTGATTTTTAAACTGGAAGTAAGTGACGGTCGCTAATTCTAAAGGGAAATCATATTTCCGGAAAACACATTAAAATAAGAGAAGGACATGTTACTTAAAATAATTGACCAATACATTAATTTAGTTTTTTTCCCCTATCTTTTATCTCTGTACTTTTTAACAGTTTACTCCTAAAGGGAAACACTCATAATATTGAGAAAATTTGCAGGTTGGGGGGGGGGGGGTGTGTGAGGCTACCCTACATTTGGCAATAAGAAATGCATGGCGCCTGAAATTTTATGCGCATTTTTTTTTAAAGATCTGGGTTAGTGTATAGAGTGTATTGTGAATATATGGGACCTCAATGCTATTGGATTTAATTAACAGAGTAATGGTGGAGTCCAAATTTTGGCTGTACGAAATTAAAAAAAAAAAAGAGAGAGAGAGGGAAAAAGAAAAAACAAAACAAAAAACACGGCTTAAAATTTAACTTACCGTTGTTTTCCACATTTATTCCTATACCGAGGTCCTTCCCTGTCCATTTAGCACATGATATTCACTGCCGAGTATAATTTGCTTCACTTCAAAGCTCAGTAGAATAACACTAAAAGTTCGTTGTCACTCTTTTTTTCCCCAAAAACACATAACGAATGAAAAATCATCTTCTTTTACAGGCATACATCTTGTCTAAGTTCCTTTGTAACTGAATGAAATATAAAGATTCATCAACCAAATTGACAACAGTCATCACTTTCAAAATCTGCATTCAAACTGACCAGTGCATCCAAAAAAGAGGCTCTGGCTGAAAATTTCCGCCCCTGTAGAGAGGGTCAAGCAGGTGCGCATTGGAAACGTATATCTGGTATACAATATGGCAGCATAAAAAACTTACTCATCTAGGAAACGCAATATTCAATGTTATATAAAGCATAATACTCGATGTCAAATAAATTGATTAAAAGTTATGTTTGACTATTTTTTACGAATATCTCCCCCATTAGTGCCTTAAAGCTGACATGAATTCTTAAAAACGCAACTTTTTCATCTATGTACGACTTGTTTCATACCAACTATAGCCGTATTCCGCCATATTTCTTTCAGATACCTTGTCTTATTGTAACGATATATACCCGAATGCCCTCGTTACACTTGAATGATTTTTTGGCTTGGCTATCGACTTGTGCACATCTCCGATGGTAAAACATTTGAAAACACATGGGTTGATCAAGACATTTCAAAACCACACAACATAATATTCATATTTCTGAATAATTATAGATTTGAATCAAATGTAATAAAAAAAGAAAGAAAATGCATGTTTGAAAGAAAGATTTAGTTGCACGAGTACGCATTTTTACACTGTGCCAATTTATGCAGAATAAACATGAAATAAAAAGCACTAAAACCCGTAAACACACTTTGAAATTATTATCATTTGAATGGAAAAAAACAATCAGCGTCTTTGATTTGCAGGTTTTATGCAGACTTTGATGCATGTCGAGAAAACGCGTCGAACGCTGTAAACGTACCCATACCTGGTAATAAGATCACTGCATCGGTTCGAAGATGTGCACAAGTCAAGTGATATACACCCTGAATTCCATTTATTATGTTCCCCAAACGAAGTTGGGGAACATATTGTTTTTACTCTGTTTCTTATTATTAAGGTCTTCCGACTTCCTTCGGAAGACCTTACTGTTTTTCTTCTGTTTCCTATTATTATTATTATTCCCTTTTCATAGTACACGTGATTTCTCCGAAACTACTGAACCGATTTCAAAGATATTTACAGGAATGATGCATTGTTGTAATATCTCCAGACCTTTTTTTCATTTTTTTGAAAATCACTTCCGGTCGCATTTTTTGTCCGATTTTCTTTTTTTAAGTTGTCATTTTGTCCAAGCATCTTCTTGTAAACCACTCAAGATTGAATCATGATATTTTCAGGGATTATAAAACATCTTATTGAGTTATGCATGACGTCTTTTAATTTCGCATCCGTCACTTCCGGTCGACACAGGAAGGGATGTTTAATTTTCAGATTTTTTGAAAAATTTAACGGGATTGATTAAAGGCAAATAGAACATATATTTTTATTCACAATCCTCAACAAAAAGCATCCATCAGAAGTACTTCCGGTAAAAACCGGAAGTAGTCGAAAATTCAAAGTTTTTCCTTTGAATCAAAATAAATCAAATAAAACGATTGAATTTGGGTTTTTCAATTTTTTTCTGACTTGCTGACTGTGATGTCAGCCGGCAATAATGCCGGAATTGTCAAAAGTCGTCAAATGACGTCACTTCCGGTCAAAACCTGTAATTACTTTTGCACCGAGAATAGTTTGGCAAGAAATATACAACAAAAGTTGTGCGTAATTATGAGAGCTTTCATATAAGATTAAGGAAAAGGGGCTGGCCCCTATAATTAGGCCAGGGGTAAATAGATCATAAACGTTTTTTTTTTTCTGAGAGCTAAAAATATCAATTTTTTAATGGTAACAGTTATACTATGAAAAATTTTATCTGAAATCATTTCGAATTGATGAAAAACCCTGTCATTTGGTATAAAGATAAACAAACTCCAAACTATATTTGTTTTTTATAAAACAAATATGTGGGAAACCTTACATGGACAAGTTGTCTAGCTACTGTAGCCAGCCAAGCCTTTACTGTTATCAATCCTCTGGAGCATTATTCTAAGCAAAATTATCCGATTTATATATTCTTGTGTGAATTGTTTACGAGGAAATTCCGACTGTCACAGTAATAAACAAGGATGAACACTCCTGACTCTGTTTCGGATTCCCCAGTGATAATTGTATCGAATGATTAAAGAGCTGACGGTTACATTTTAATTTATGATTGGCGTGGACCATGGGAATGAATTCGAAGGTAAGATTTTTGTTTACCTAAAATTTACATTATATTACTATGGCAGCTTAGAGCATTTATCAGCTGTCGATAGTTTTAGAAATACACAGACACAGCGATATATTAACTGTTTTACAGTTCAGACGCTCTCAGTTAGCCTTTTAAAATCCCCACAGCTTTAAATTTTATTTAAATATGTGTGAGCATGTAATTTCAACAAGACTTGCTTTCAACATGTTCAAAACAAAATGTTTTTCAACTAAATAAATAATATGTTGACGGGTGTGATGTTAGGGTACGATAAGCATGGTAAGGGTACTCCTACAAGTAAGAGCCTCGGTTAACGTCCCTACGCTCCTTATATACCTCGGACTCTTACATCCGAAGGCCATTTTCTAACGAGCACGTTCCGCCTTAGACTTTGGGCGGAACGTATTATGCGTGAAATAAACTGTTAACAAATAATTTTCAGGTACCTACGTGTTTGCATGGGGTATGAAAGTCACAAGAAATAATAAAAATCCATTTAATTCAGTGTGCATTATTGTTAATTAATGAAAATTGTCATTATTCCAATTTGTCACCAGAAGTACTTTCGATTTGACTTCACATTAATTTTGCGGATTGCTTGTCAGAAAACGAAATTTTTGTTGCATTTCACTGTTTTCGTTTCGTCAGATTTTCTGAATTCCAATTCCGAATTTTAAACAGACGACTTGTTTCAATTTCTGCTTCGATTTAAAAAAATAATGGATTTATTGCTAATACGAGAGGTTAACAGTGTTTTATGCGTAAGTTTTATCGTAAATATTGAGTATTTTTTTAATTTCATATCATTTGTTAATATACAAAGCCTTATTTCTTAATAAAATAATTTTTTCCACTTGGGGTTTCTGCGGCGAGAATTTTTACAATGGATGCTAGAGGTTACGCAGCGCCAGGTCAAAAGTATCTCGCCGTGAACCTCTAGCATGCTGGAGTATGGTAAGGGCAGATACTTATTCACTTTTAATTTAGATCAGGCTTGTCAAACCACACGAGACATTTGGTGCATCGATGCATGTTCACATGGACTGAGTTCAATTCAATTTATTTTAATTCGAATTAATTTACTGCGCATTAAATTACTTTGCATTAGCTCCTTGTGAACACTAACATGACTAAGGTAAGCTAATTCCAATTAAATTTTGAGGCATGTGAAATGGCAAAATTAAGTCAAATGCTACATGTTGGTGGTCAGCTTTAAGTACTTGTGCTATTTTTGAGTGAAAAACTAAGGAAAATATAGTGTTAATCACTAAAATGTGAAAACAGACATTGTGACATTATGTCAAATACATCTGTTTATGCCTAAGGTGACATGATTTGTAAATGATGTCATAAAAGCCTAACTGAAGCCTGCATGACTGTCAAAGTAAAATTTTTATTCGATTTGGTTACTTTGCATTATAATTAGCTGTCATGTGAACACAGTTTGATTCGCATTAGTTTGATTTGCATTTAATTTAGTTTACTTCGCAATAATTTACTGCGAATTAAACATGTTAAACTCTCCGTCTGAACAGGGCACTAGACTCTAAAGTCACATGACGTCGTAGTGTAAGTTTGGCCTACAATACCACTTTAAAGCTTGAATGTAGCTCAAAGAAGCAAAGCACTGTGGGTCCAAAGTTACTGCAGAAAAAAATTTAGTATAATTTATTGACAAAAAAATTGCACACAATATAATATTGCTCAGTTAATTAAATCAATATTTTATTATGTCATATGTATGTTTCTTAGTTAAATTGCAAAAGAAATTTGTAAAAAAAAAAAAAAAAATGTAATAGTAGAGTTTGCTTTTTTTGTGATAAGGCTGCAGAAATGATTTGTTTGTTAATTAGTCTATTGAAAATTTTTCAGTCATTTTATGATGCCACCACTTTGGATAGTAAGCTGCAAATATAGACTTGTACTCAGCACTTATTGCCTTTGAGAAGTAAGGGATCCTTTTCGTGCCAACACCCACACCTACTCAAACTGTGACACAGAATCTCGGTTTATACAGTCTCTTTGGAGTAACCTGTCTCTAGCATTTAGCAGTA